TTTTTTTTTTTTTTTTTTTTTTTTTTTTTTGCTTTGATATAGAACTACTCTCTTCCCGTGTTGTTCCGGCTTCCTTAAATTTTTGTGACTTTTGCTGGTGTTTTGAAGAGTAAAATAGGTTTTGGAGTGTGCATTGTTTACATTCTTGTAATACAGTTTACATTCAATAAAGCGGTAGAAATTAACACTGCTTTAATCAATAAACAGCAGCTAAAAATAAGTTTACTGTTTACCAGCAATAAAACCTGAAAACTGTACAAAAGATGACAAGAACTAGTTTAAAATCGATAAAAGTTCCGTTTTTGATTGTCTTTTTATTGTACACTTGTTTGCTTGTAAGGGGTGTGAAAAATAAAAGAACTTTCGAGCGTGTAATGTCACCGATTACCATCTCTAATCCCTTTTGGTTACTTAGTTTCGGTTGCTGTATTTTTTCTGTCTTTTTAGGCTCCTTGTGAAAGCAACGAAAAAAGCGTTTTGGCTAGGGAGTCGAATGGATCTCATAAAAAGGGCCGAATAGATGGAGAGCAGTCTGAGGGAAATTGTGTCCCCTCGACATCACGTCGAACTTTGGGCCTAAGATTAAGTACTCCTCTGCCTATATCAGGAAGACGATTAAGTATTCCAAAAAGGAGTTATTCACCAGAACCTGTTAAGAGAACTCGATGTACTGTATTAGTTTTCGATCTATCCTTTGTTTTTATTTCCACGACTTCTTTAGGACAGTAAGTTGATCCAGGGCTGTATACTTTGTTTTAGTGAGCTTGGGTTTTCGAAGAACCTGTGAAACTATTCGCCTCACGCATTTGAAAGAAAAAATTGCTTTACTGAAGCCTATGGAGTTTTTCTTGCCGACTGATTTTACTTGTTGGGGAAGCCATATTTCGTCACTGGCGTTTGGGAATAACTTACCGGGTAAGCCTAGATTTTTTACGCGTTTTTGATAAGGTGATGTTGTGGGTAACTGATTGTACTGGGCATTTATAGTATTCAGTGTCGTTTAAAATTGGTTTTTTAGTTTCTGTAGCAAGTCTTTTGCAGCTTTATGTTTTGTTCTAGTAAAGTGAAAACCGGCTTCAATTTAAGGGAGCAGTAATGGCTCGGAAGTAGAAGAGTCTGAGAAAGGCCGTGATCCTTCAGCAGTAGCCTCTGAAAATTCTCATGCTGATCCAAATGTTGTCGAGGAATTGGATAAAGCCAGTGCATTCAACAAAGATGGAATAAGCGATGCGAACAGCTCTTCAGACGGGTCGATGGTAAAGCGTAGACGTGGACGACCCAAAAGGCACTCGAGGTCGTGTTTTAATTGACCATTATCGTTTAGGATGTTCTCTTGAACTACTTTTTTGCTGGCTGCGTGTATTTAATTGTTCGGTACGATGAAGGGGATCAAAACAGCTAATTGCATCTCTCCCTGATTGTGTTGTAATTTATTAGCTGTACTTCCTGGTTTTTTTGCAGAACCTTTCTTGTATTTTAATAAATGCATTACAGTGCAAATTTCGTACCTGAGACTGATAATAGTTCTCCAAGTGTGCCTGCGGATAACAAACTGCCAAATAATGAAAGTTATGAACGGAGACAATCGGCTGGCAGTAATCAGCTTTTATCTGGAAAGGTAACATTTAAATTTTGATCAACGTAAGGTTTTTTTGAATTATTTTGGTGTTGGAGACATGGAGTTTAAACTACTTCTTCTACGTAGGCTGTTGCAACAAAAGAAGTCAAGATTGAGGATGGCCTCAGCTTTGTTGCGGACGAGCCAGGCGGAGCAGATACTGAAGAAAAAATTGTTCAGGACGTTATTAATCACAATTCTGCTGAATTTGTGACGGGAAGTAGCAAGGTTTGTTGATTACTTTGTTTATGGTTTCCCAGTGTGTTCTCAATTATGAATGTAAAGCATGTAATTCATTTATTCATTTAAGGCAGAGAGTGACTCTGAGATCTCAAAGAACGGAGTAGTTGGTTTGGTAAATGTAAAGTCTGAAGATGTTGAAACCGTGCGTGGTGTCTCAGGTGTAGCTGTTGCTGCTGTTCCTGATAGCGTCAAGAATGCCTTAGTGAAGCTTGCGGATAAAAGCGAAACGAAGGTCAGCATACTTTAGATTAACATGGAGTAGGGAACTAGCGTAAAACAGATCTTACATTTTATATACTGTTGTTTTTTTATTTTGTTTTGCAAACTCGAGGTGCAGTAACCAAGTGCGCAGAAATGGCATCTTTATTGCAACAATTCTGTTGAAGATTTCTAACGAAGGAATTTTTTCGACTCAGTTCTGTTCCTTTAGCTTAAAAAAATTAGGGCATATTATTTGGACGAGTTCTGATTGCTGTGAAGGCGTCTTTTTTAAAAGAGCTTTTTTGATTATTAGTAAGCCATGGTTTATTACTGCCATGGATTTCTGGCATTGGTGGGGTGTTTATTAACAAAAAAGTATTACGGTTACGAATCTCTGACAGGTACTTGTTTTTTTTAAGTCACTCTTGACTGATTACTACCAAAAAGACATTTTTTTTTTTCGGACTAAGGATTTTTCTGAAGCTTTAGAACATCATGCCAGTTTTGTCGAAATTATAGTATTTTTTCGAGTGCTTTGCCTGTGAAGTATGAAGTGATTAAGGCTTAATAATATCTGACGTTCATGGTTGTTGTTGCTTTCTCTGTGATTTCTCTGGGTTCAAGTGTTGACTATTCCAACAGTTGTTGTACGCCATGTTTATTATTTTTGAATAAATTGTTCTGTTTTGTATTTTCTACAAACTCGAGTATGTTAAAATTGTCATGAGATGATAGCAAAAATTCCCCGTTTCAGTTTAGGGTTACCCTCTTTAACAAACCATCAGTCTTCGCAGTAATTTGTCTTACGGCAATCTTATTCATAAATTCTGATATGGAGGTTGGGTTTTTGATAACATTTTTTAGTCGAATTTTTCTTTCTCACCACGTTTGAATGAGTTGTTCCTGAGTTGGGTAAGCCCCTCTTGTTCAGTTTTCCCCCAATTCATGATTTGTAGATTATTTCGATTTGGAAGACTTTGGAAGTTGGTCCATTTTTAGAGCACACTATTCACCTGCATGACTCTCTTGTTGCTATTTGGTGCACTTCGTTATTTAGTTTATCTCTTATTTTTTCTAGGGCGTTGATGCAGTTGTTCGTGCAGTTCTTGAAGATTTAATTTCTAAATTGTGCGAACTAGACAGCAAAGTGGAAAAAACCTTTTGTGGGCTAGTGATGGAGCCTTTGCGACGGCCACAAGAGCGTCGCCGTGTGCCTCCTCTTCGAATACGTTTGCCGAAACGTAGAGAAGTGAGGAAGAGGGTGCCTGCGAGGTCACGGGATTACTCGCCTCCAGGGCGTACATTTCGTAGAAAGTTAAGTCGTAATTCGGCTGTTCCACAACAGGAAAGTGTAGCAGTTGTCCAACCTGCGGCTAGGAAGTCAAGGAGGTCATCGCGTTTGATAAAAACTTCAAATGCTCAAAATGACCATGTGGGGTAAGCATTACACTTCTTAATTTAGTAATGTTTTGTTAGTAGAATTGTCGAAATTTTCAGTTTTACTTTGAAGCGAAGGCTTTCAAAGCCTAATCGATCTAGTTTTCACAGAGAGATTCGATTCCAGCCAGTTTTTTCATGCCTGTTTAAATCATTAAATTCCACTTCACTCCTTAAGGACTTAATGAAAATCGCTTTTCAGTATAGCGCCTGCTAGTCTTGAGTCGAGTAATGCCCTCTCTATTCTGAATGATGATAAATGTCCAGCATCGAAAAATGAAGTTTGTGTCTAGTACTTAGTTCATATCCTGGTTTAATTCCATTTTTCTCATGTCTTATCATTTCAGACATCGTTTGCTCCAAATCGTTTGTCAAGACCGGATTTAGTAAACCTCCCTTTCGACGAAGTTTTAAAAAACACCGTGAGGGATCGTGATCTGATGGGTGAGGTTTCCGATTACGCCACTTTAATTTCACAAGAAACGGGCCGCTCTACACCTGGAGTATCGTTTTCTGAAGAAGTTCCAGCTTTGCTCTCAGATCACGCAGTTGGTATCAGTAAGGTGAAAATAGTCTCAATTTGGTGGTTGCTGTCGTTTTGATTTTAATAATTGAAAAATGTAGTGTGTCGTAGTGTTAAGATACGAAGGTTTCAGATCGAAAAAGGTTTTGCTTTATTTGTAATGGTTTTACTGAAGTGGGCAATAGTTGTTCCCGTACCAACTATGGTGTAATCACTTTTAGTTTTATGCCCTATCCAAAATGGGCTGAGACATTCTGTTATATTTTAGATACATTGGAAATCAGTATTTGGTAGTTTATAGCCCGTTGCAGCAGTGTCAGTAGTTATTTTTTTCGCGCCATATGTTTAGGAGATTTCCACTTCATTCAAAAACCTGAATGACGTGACCGTGTCGAAAACAGCAAATTCCTCGCTTCCGTTTTCTTCTGTGGCCGAAAGCGTATCTAGTCGTCCTTGTCGTCAGAAGAAGTCTTATCAGGAGCTATATCCTTCTCTGTTCAAAAACAGAAGGAAAAGGTCTGCTGATGGCGCAGCTACTGCTAAAAGAACGGAGCGTATAATAAGAAGACGTGGTAAAGATGCGCCGGCCGCAGAACTGTGCCCAGAATCGTCTAGTTTGCCAAGTGGTAATTATTAGAAACTTTCTATTTTGGACTACTATCTACAGTCATTTTCCTCTAACTTTTTTTCAGCAGAGGGCAAAGTTGCTACCCCTTTAGACGGAAGTGTTAGCAGCGTTCCTAAGAGGACAAGAAAATCCAGCCGTCATGTCGCTGAAGCAGAAGAAGTTAATATTAAGGTTTCTTACTTTGTGAAATTAATATTCTAGGAATGCTTTTTGAAGTATGGTTGTCGACTTTTTAACAACATATTATTTCAGAAGGAGGAAGTGGTTGAAGAAGCTGAAAGCGATTCTTTGCGCTCTCGAACAGAAATTTTAACGTTGGAGAAAGGAAAAGAGAAGAGAAGAGGTGCCTCAGAAGGCTCTTTCTTCAGTCCCAAAAACAGTAATGTTTCTAGCGATCGTAACACCGTCGAAGACGTTGGTGAGCTACTCAGTAAACTTTTCTGGAAAATATATTCCTCATTTATGTTTATTGAGTTACAGCTGTATTTCAGCCACTAATAATTTTTGTAGGAGCCGGAGACTCGTTGCTTGGTTCTTCTCGTCGTCATCGAGGAAGTACAGAACAACAGCACATTCCAGTGAAGAAATACACCGGTAATGTTGAGAACGATATATCTGTTATTACCTCATCTACTAGGACTTCAAAAAGAGGCAAGAAGTCATCAGTTGTGGACATCAAGAAATCTTCGTCTGAAAACCTCTCGAAAGGTTTCTTTTGTTCGCTTGGCCTTCCGTTGTTCGCAGTATTCGGTATTTTTTGACCTCTAGTTTTGGAAGCTATGGGTAAATAATATATTTCTTTTGCAGTTGATAATAAAGTTGTTGAACTCAACCCTACTTCATCACCACGAAAGAAGTCGAAACGTGGTGCGCAGCCAGTGAGTGTTCCTGTAAATGACGGGTATGCTAATCACTTTCTTTATAATCAAGACAGTTTTTCGTATGAGAACGGTTACGAACTTTTTTTTGCTGATTAATTGTGCTGTTTACAGAAACTCACTCAAAAAATTTCCAATGCCTTATTTCAAAAGGATTGCCCAGCGGCGCAAACTAAACCCTTTGGCTATCGGTTTGAAAAGCCGCTCTGAAGATGCTGATCAGAAGATTTTTTACAGGGAATTATTACTGAGAGGGTTTGTTTGTTTTATCTTTTTTTATTTTTGTTTGTAAAATGCTTTATTTACGTCAGTTTTTTTGGGCTGCTATTTTGTAATTCTCTTTTAGCAAATGAAGTTTGTTCTAATTTGATTCTTCAGCGTTTATTCAATCTTGGAATGCAGTTAGACATTAAGCATGGAACGTAAAAGATTTGTTGAAAGTTATATGAGTTGTTTTAATGTCTAGATGCAAAGCGTCGGATTTAGAAAGTGATCTAGAGTGTTACTCTCTACGTTTCGATTAAAATAGATTTTTTAAGAATTATTGGTAATTGTTAACCTACGTCACTGTTATTCGTTTCTCAACTCTAGTTTTTGTCGTAAAAACTCTCGTACGGTATACTGACAGTAAAAATAATTTTTTATTGGAGGGTAGGAGGTTTGATGAAGAACAGAGAAATTTTAATTTGTAGCAGTATTTTCATTTAGTTTTAGTTGGCTAATGTTACGTTTTTTCGTATATCTGTTTCACTCAATCGTTAAAACATGTTTAGAGAGGAATTACGGAGGACAGATGCAGAGGAGGAGTTAGACGTTGATACATGCGTGCTTCCCGTTGGTGATGATGAGTTTGGATTTGTGAATCCAGCTGCTGACATCGCTTCTGCAATAGAGCGGATTCTTCCTCGACCAGTGGTCTGTAATGAAGACGGCGAACCTATAGAAATAACGACAGATATGATTGTGGAGAAGTAAAATCCCTGAGAGCCAATTTTTCAATTTTTCACTGCGAAAATATCAGTTTCTATTTAGCCGTGTTTAATCCGATTTCCTGTTTAGTGCAAGTGGGGAAAGCCAAGAGAGGTTAAACGTGCTTAGAGAAATGATTGATGTTATATTGGGGCAATACACTGCTGATGTAACTTCTAGCGCTATATACGGTGGCGCCTCGGTCGAGTACAGCACGATTCTGTTCAATGCCAGACAGCTGAGAGATAGAGTTTTTACTTTCAGTGAGGTAATTTTTTGCCTTCTAGTAATTTACAGTAGTATAAGTGTCTCGCATTATGTACAGGTACGACCCGCAGTATACACCTTACAGTGACATTTTTTTGCTGGCGAGCTTGCATTTTTCAAGTCTTCTTTTGGAGATTTCTTTTTTCAATCTCGATTTCATTTTATAAGTTCTTCTCACATCTTATATAGTCCTCTTTTTTTTGGTGTGTTCAATCTTAGAGGAAATGTTAATGTTAAGGAAAGACGATCCAGCGCGCAGTGGGCTCATAGGGCACTGCTAAAACAATTACCTGTCTCAATACTAGCCACTTATATAAACTTGTTGCGTTACTGCAAGTCAGTTGTAAGTTGTTTAATTGCTTCTTACTTTTTTGTTACCTATCCTTTCGTTAGGGTTTCCGAGTTAGAAATTAAGTTTTGTTGTTGGCCGTTAATGTCTATACCAGTGGAAGAATTTTTTTTGGTGATGTTTTCATGGGTGTTTAAATAGTTACAGTTTGTAACTATTTAAACAGGTTTTATATTCCTTTTTAGGCCCGATACTTGGTGGATATATTGTTGAAGGAGCAGCGTGATGAAGATTCTATTAATGTAGCTAATCGTCTTATCATGAATTTTATGAATAATAAAATTTTGGACCCCCAGACTGCTTCAATTACAAAAACTTTGGGGGTAATTTTTTTCTGTTTTAATACTTTTTTGGATAGCACAGAAAATCAGTTTCACAACGTTTTCCTTCTAGCGTAGATTCTGCTTAGAGCTGAATAGTTGTAGATGAAGCCATCTTCTTTTAGAAACGTCATCTGGATGCGGTTTGCTTACTTGCGGTTGATCCTTATTTTGCACATTTGGATTATGCACCAAAGATCAAGGCACACGAATATATTTTTAAGTTCGTTTGTTCGTTTTTTTTTTTCAAAACTGTTTTCACCATGCATTTTTAAAATCATATATGATGAGAATTATATCTTTATGTTTACTCTCGTACTCAAGTTTTGAGGAGGTTGCCGTTTATTTCTTTCATGCCAAAAGTGTGAATTTTTCCACTAAGCAGTTTTGTAAAGGTTGCTTCAGTTTTGCTGAGGATGTGCGGTGTCTCTCATTTATTTGACTTCCGTGATCTGTTTGGTTTTTTCACAGGAAGTTGGAATATATTTTTTCTCAATATTTATTTTCAGAGTTTTATTTCCAAACAGCTTTGGTCGAGTGGAGCAATTGAGACCGTGTTTACCGTCGTCAGTAGAGTTTTCTGCTGCAGAGGTTGTTGAATATTTAATTGATGTAGTAAGCAAACGGTTGAAGGAACTGATCAAGAAATACCCCTCTAAGAAGGTGGTTTTGGCTGGATGGGGGACATCATGCTTTATTAATCATGAGGTAGTTTAACTGTCTTCAAGCGCCTACTTTGTTGCACATCTCGGTCACTTTTTCGTCTCTAAATAAATTATTGTTTAAAAGTTTTTCTAAAACTCTCTGTCTCGGTACAGTTATTGTAATTGTCACTTGCAAAATTGCTGTTTTCTAGGTTGTTCAGTCTGTACCTAATGTACACGCAATTTTGGATTTTGCTTTCCCATTGAAAACGGTTGATGGGATGCGTGGGGTTAGTATCTTTTTGGTTTCGCGCGCAGTGTATCACTCTTAGAATGATTTTCTTACTTCTTTGATAGCGTCATACTTGAAAGTGATTGTTTTGGAGCTTTGCTCCGCTTTCCACTAAGCACTCTCCTCACTATTTATGTTGTTTAAGGATGCTGACGACACGTTTTTGCTCACATATTGCCCAACTCTATTTGTCGTTGGGGAGCGGGCTCTTGATTGTGACACTGTTGAAATTCAGAAATTAGCTTCCCGAATGAGAGGTTCGCAGATAATTAGTGAAAATTTGCATAATTTGCTCATTTTTTAAAGTTTA